TTAACCGTTAACCGTAACCGTACCGTACCGTACCGTACCGTACCGTACGTACGTACGTAACGTACGACGTACGAACGAGACGAGAGAGAGAGAGAGAGAGAGAGAGAGAGAGAGAGAGAGAAGAAGAAGAAGAAGAAGAAGAAGAAGAAGAAGAAGAAGAAGAAGAAGAGAGAGAGAGAGAGAGAGAGAGAGAGAGAGAGAGAGAGAGACTCCTCCATGCAAGAAACATCCTGAACCATACAAAACATTAATAATGCGAGAAAACCACGTCTCCATCAATCAACAAAATACATTTGAGACTCAAACACATGATTTCAAATCCGAAATGAATTTTCTTTTTTCGATTAATGCAAAAGTCACCCTTATTATAAAAAAATCCGAAATGAAAGAGGAAAAGACATTCTTATACAACAAAATATCTTTCTCCATCAAAGCCAACAACCATCTACAACCCAAGACATGAATTCAAAGAGAAACCAGAAACACAAACATCAATCCTTGAAAGAAACCAATAAAAACCACAAACATCAATCCTTGTAAGAAAACAATAAAAAACCACAAAAATCAATCCTTGAAAGAAAACAATAAAAACCATATGTAAAATACAGAAAGAAAGAAAGAAAACCTGGCTATGCCTTCGAAATGGGGCTGTAGAAAACTCTTAATCTTCTTCGAAGTTAAGGCATACCCAACAACGATTTTATGTCCAGGTGAACCAGAAGACATGTTAATGGAACTTGGGTTTTCAGTGACCAAATGCTCATTTCTCTCCCTTAAAGGGTCTTCTTGAATTGAGTCCTTCTCTTCCCCTTCCTTTTCTCTCTCGTTTTCGAGTTCAAGGTTTTGGTGGGGTTTCAGAGGATTTTGCACACAACCAGAGGGCAATGGAGCTCTCGGTGAGTTTTTAAGGGGCTCTGACTCAAGCCTCATGCCCTGAAAAAAAAAAGGCCTGAAAACCATACAAACGTGCGAGACCTTACAGGAGGATGAACTTTTTAGAGAGAGAGAGAAAGCGCAAAGGCCTGAAAACCAAAGAAGAGTGAGAGGCCTTCACAGGAGGATGAGCCTTTAGAGAGAGAGAGAGAGAGAGAGAGAGAGAGAGAGGGGAGAGAGAAAGAGGGAACCGAAAGAATTAAAAAAAATATTAAGGCTTTTTCATGGAAAAAACATTCTCGGGAGTTCGTGTTACAGATTTCTATTGTCGTTGAGATAACTTATAAAAATGCCCTCAATCAAAAGAATAATATGGTGTATGGCCCTACTTAATTTAAATTACTATAAGACCCCTAAAGTTTTCGTTAAATGTCAAACTCGGCCCTCCATCTGATGCACATACACTGAGGCCCATCCACTACGGTGTATATAAAATGTCAGTCAGCTCTCACTCTGACATTGTTCTTCATAGAACCAACTGTTCTTCTCAACCATCCATTTACAAAGACAGACGGTAGATACTCCCCTGTGTATGGTTTATATCTATACACATTATCTGTGTAGTATTACCAACCCAACAAAAACTAATATAATATCCTTTATTATTTTAAAATTTAAACATTAACTGATACCTTGATTAGCTACATTTGGGGGCTTGCAAATTGCAATCTTCTCAAATTTTATTTTATTTTGGGGTGTTGTTTATTTTTTTGGGGTTAAAATATTCTTTTTGAAATAAGAGGTTTATATAGAGTCGAGGCTTTAACCATCAAATTAGAACGCACCTCAAAAATTTCATTAGAAGAGGTTGTTTTGATGTTCATATATCCTCAAATTGATCATCTCGACATTAATATGCATGGACACAAGAAAAAAATAGATTTCAAGTTTTGAAAATAGTTCCTCTTGTAATATATTTTTGTATCATCAATTTTCATGATTTTCAAATTTTCATAGATGTGTTTAATCTACACTATTTTTTAAGTTTGAAAGTTTATAATTAGATATGAAAATATATTTTAAAGCTATCACAAAAATTTTCAATATTAAAACCATATTTATCGACATTATTTGAATGTGTGTTTTACTTTGATCGTTTAGTGCGCCTCTATACAAACCACACCATTATTTTTTTATTTTTGAGGTCGTTTGGTTTATTTTTTAGGGTTCTTCTCAAGTAATATTTAATTGTTTGAGTCTCTTTTGTTATGCTAATTTTTTGGGGTTAGTGATCTAGGATTGGGACTTTGAAGCCTAGTGTTGACCTCGTGGCGGTCACACCATAACCACCAACCGAGTCAAGGGGCTGAACCCCAGGTCACTTATTATGGAAAAGTTTACGTATAGCCGAGGCTCTAAACAATCAAATTTGAGCCTACGTCGAAAATTTCACTTGAAGAGGTAGTTTTGATGCCCACATATCTTCAAATCGATCATCTCTACATCAAGATGTATGGACCTGAAAAAAAAAAAATGATTGCAAGTTTTGAAAATAGTATATTTTGTAACGCATGTTTTGACAGTCAATTTTCAAGATTTTCAAATTTTCACAGATATGCCGA